ATATGATTTTATCCTTAAGAATCTATCTAGTTGCCTCTTAAAGGACTCATGAGAAGTCGCATGGTCTAGCTCGGCGAGCAGCGAATTCCAGCATTTGACAACTCATAAGGAGTAGAAGTTGTGTCTACAGTCCATTCTGCTATGTTGTGTCTCCAGTTTCTGGGTGTTACCCCTTAGGTTAGTGTTGATACTAAGTTTAAGTAGGTGTTTAAGAGGATGCCCAGAAGTGTTAAAGATACTGTAAGTCATTAGAAGGTCACCTCTAAGACGTCTTTACTCTAATGGGTAGAGGTTAAGTAATTGGAGGCGTTCTTCATAAGGTGATTTGGTGCATATCTTCGTCATTCTCTTGGGAAACCTACAGACTCGGGTCCTTTCACAACTTATTCTAGCCACCGTGAGTTGCCACGAAAACTGATGGATGGACACGCGTTACACATCCTAACCGTCCCTGCATCTAATCTCATAGCTTCTTATTCAAATGCCATATGATAAGCAAGTAATGCTTCTACCGACACTAATGGAACACGAGTAATTCAAAGGCACCCTGTATGGTACTTTACATTGGTCTACGCACTCACTTAGCTCTTTAGTGGGAATATTACTACAGTCCTGCTAAAAAACCAATGAACCCCCCTACCACCATCAAAACAATAAGTCTGTATTTGCTGCATATAGCAATTTTATTTTTCAGAAGATATAACAGTAAGAATTGGAGTAAAATAACAATATACAACAGATGCACGTGGTACATGTCTTCATCGATCATCTGAAATAGAGAATACGGATATTAGCTTAACATGCTTATTTAGAAAGACTAGTGTTTACTTTGAACTTACTGTGTGAGAAAGTTATACTGGAACTGTGAATAATGTAGGAATCTAGTCTATTAGGGCGTACGAAGCACTCAAACTGGAAGACAGTTGTCACAAATTAATTCGAATATGAAGTTGAGAATTTGCAAGTACTTTTCATCGTAAAGGTGAACATATTATATAACGGTTGATATCATACTGTAAAAATAACAAATTTGCGAGTGGTGAATTATGGTCTATAAAAAGCTGAGCTTAATAACAGTTAGTTACCTTTTTACTCCCTGATCATGACCCTTCGGCTTCCTTTTATGGCCGAAACAGCAAACATACACTACACACTGATAGCAGATTTCCGGCTTTTCAATGTTAAGCTTGCTTTAACGCACTACGTAATGCGTACAACCCCTCCATTACTGCTATGTGGCATATTTTTTCATAACAAACACTCTGCAATAGATTGGTAGCATCTGTGACTTCGTCTATGGTTGTCGGAAGCCTGGGTACTTTCGAAAACAATACTGACATCTCCTACTGCTAGGCACTAAGTATTAGTTTGACTCGTTGGTGGGATATTGTTGTCCGCAATACTGAAGAAAATTAAAAACCGGAAATTGTTCCCTTTCATTTTGCCGATAACATCATAAAGGACAGTTAGGAATGAACACGCGGACAGTTAGTCACAGGAGGCAGCAACAGTTATTTCAGCTAAGAAAAAACGAACTTCGGCTTTGGATATCTAGAAAACAAGTCAAAACAAAACCGATCTTCATTTTAAAACATAAGACTAACCAGCTTGACTGAAGAAATACATTGACTAAAGTAGAAGCAGCAAAAACCCAAAAAACCATGCTGATTCGAAGTAAATTTCACACCAACATGTAGAACATTACACTAACTGCGGCATCTTAGCACATTGAAACATTAATTACATAGCTACACAAAAGAAATAGCTAAAAGAAGCACAGAGCGAAGATAGCCGACCGCCATTACGTACAAAGATGGCTGATATAATAATTCCCGCCACATTCTGATTGGTTGCTAAGCTGAAGGGCACATTTACGAAATTGAGTTGCGTTTAATTGCAGCCGAACTTACTGTGTGAGAAAGTTATACTAAAACTGTGAATAATGTAGGAATATAGTCTCCCAGGGCGTACGAAGCACTCAAACTGGAAGACAGTTGTCACAAATTAATTCGAATATGAAGTTGAGAATTTGCAGGTACTTTTCATCGTAAAGGTGAACATATTAGATAACGGTTGACATCATACCGTAAAAAAACACAAATGTGCGAGTGGTGAATTATGGTCTATAAAAAGCTGAGCTTAATAACAGTTAGTTACCTTTTTACTCCCTGATCATGACCCTTCGGCTTCCTTTTATGGCCGAAACAGCAAACATACACTACACACTGATAGCAGATTTCCGGCTTTTCAATGTTAAGCTTGCTTTAACGCACTACGTAATGCGTACAACCCCTCCATTACTGCTATGTGGCATATTTTTTCATAACAAACCCTCTGCAATAGATTGGTAGCATCTGTGACTTCGTCTATGGTTGTCGGAAGCCTGGGTACTTTCGAAAACAATACTGACATCCCCTACGGCTAGGCACTAAGTATTAGTTTGACTCATTGGTGGGATATTGTTGTCCGCAATACTGAAGAAAATTAAAAACCGGAAATTGTTTCCTTTCATTTTGCCGATAACATCATAAAGGACAGTTAGGAATGAACATGCGGACAGTCAGTCACAGGACGCAGCAACAGTTATTTCAGCTAAGAAAAAACGAACTTCGGCTTTGGATATCTAGAAAACAAGTCAAAACAAAACCGATCTTCATTTTAAAACATAAGACTAACCAGCTTGACTGAAGAAATACATTGACTAAAGTAGAAGCAGCAAAAACCCAAAAAAACAATGCTGATTCGAAGTAAATTTCACACCAACATGTAGAACATTACACTAACTGCGGCATCTTAGCACATTGCAACATTATTTAGATAGCTACACAAAAGAAATAGCTTAAAGAAGCACAGAACGAAGAAAGCCGGCCGCCATTACGTACAAAGATGGCTGATATAATAATTCCCGCCACATTCTGATTGGTTGCTAAGCTGAAAAGCACATTTACGAAATTGAGTTGCGTTTAATTGCAGCCGGAGTGACCATATACAATAACAGTTACTTCAAGCCGTAGCACCATACAGTACCGAATTGACCGGGTTGACAGAATTAGGCCAGAGTTGCTTCATTGTGAATGGCAACAGATTGGAAGAAAATGCTGACCCTCTCCCACAGGTTCAGACACCCAAAAAGATATAATAATACAGAGGATATTAGAGCTACGACACTTAAGTTTGGACAGATACTACCAAAAGAAGACTTTAACACTCCATCCCTAAATCTCCGCAGGAAAAATACAACCCCAACAAGGTGGTCAACATTATATTTAGAAGTATTTTAATTAATGTAATATTTAGGTATTCCAAAAATAGTACAATTTACAACATGCCGAATTAGATGAGCATAAATGAACATAATATATTTGGGATTCGTAATAAGCAGGCAATCAAGTAAGAGAAATAATTGGTTCGTTAGAATGCCACAGTCCCATTAGAGGCCTGTCACAACAATTAAAAGTTCTGGGCTGACAGAATATGTGAGACGGGACAGGAAGGAAAATCTTCGCCACTATATTACTAGAACATCATCATATGGAGACAACTCTTGAGAGATTGCACATAAAAAAGCGATTGCTTAGGTACGCTTCCACTTGTTCTCGTTAGGAGTTGTTCCTGTTTGTAATTCTTCCCCAGAAGAAGTGACCACAGCTCTATCAGTGAGAAGCTTTAATACGGTATTTGAAAGATAAGTACTCAATCATGAATTACCATCTTTCTTCAAGATGACGCGGATATGTGTAGTTTGACGACACTTTAACTAGTAACACCTATAATTGAATCGTGCCCACCCAGTGAAATCAATATTCAGAAGCGAGGAGGTTCGAAGATATATTTGGTAGGTTATCAATGTACGGATCTAAACTAGCTAGCGGTTGCAATAGAAGTTGAGCACATTGTTCCTACTTGTGATCTCGTGCGGATGCATGACCGAGCGCCTTCAGTTAAGTGAGTCCATTAAAAGTAATATGGTGAGCATCCAATATCGGAAACTTACAGAGCTATTGATTTCGGGGACTTGTTTACCGCTACACCTTCCTGCACCATCTGTGTCAAATGAATGTCTCATAAATTACCACGATAATGAATGATGTATGTCAGTAACTAACTTCCACTTCTATTATTAGCATCTCCGCTCTCTCTTATTCTTGCAATCCTGTCTTCACTAGAACTCCGAGAATTCCCTCACAAAGCTAGTCACTATTGAGCACATGCTGATTACTAGTATAGGGGTTGTGAATACACTGGTGAGCACAACTCCTATACTAGTAATTAACATGTGCTTACTAATGACTAGCTTCATGAGGGAATTCTCGGAGTTCTAGTGAGAAGCTGTGACCAGTGGAGCCAATCCTTGTCGTGTAGAGACAGGTATCTACCTCAGTACAATGGAGGTTGATTGCGCAATTTCGTGGATTGGTTGATGTTAGAAACTATCATCACTGGATGCCGGCTCAGTGGTTCAGTTGGTTAAGCGTTTGCGCGCGAGACCAAAGGCCCTGGGTTCGAATCCCGCTCGCGGGATCGTGAATGTGCACTGCTAAGGAGTCCCACAATAGAACGAAACGGCCTTCCAGTGCTTCCAGGTTTTCAGTTGTGATGGTTTAACACCAATCGTTCCATGATCTCAATCAAAAACTTAATAATCTCCACAACCTCTATACTAGTTATTTATTTATAATTGAAACAGTCATCTCTTTGCGTTCGCATTATAACTTTGTCGTTTTCACATCACAACCAACCGACCTCCTGTTTGGTAATGTGATAGTTACTGGCATCCAGAAACGCCACTTTTCTGAGACAAATGCTCTCACTCAAACTACATGATATTCTGATGACTATCAAACTGACCAGAATAAGTTCAATCAGATGACTAGACCTGAAATTACTGAAGACTAACAAATAACTGGAACTATACCTGGATAAAAAGAAGCGAGTGCAAAGAAGTCAATAGGTTTATACAAAGATATTGAAGATATCTTGAGGACGACCCTAAAGTATGAAGAGATTTGAAACAAGGCGTTACAGTTACGTTTAGACTGGAAGTATGCTTTAGAGACAAACCAGTCAGAAATCCGAATATCACGTAAAATTATCAGTGAAATCATCTTTATATTCTGCTCAGGATGTAGAATTATTTCTTAGAATCATCTTAAGAGATGATAATGCTGAACATATTGCACACCTAATTTTATCAATTTTGGTGGTAAACAATTGGAAAATCGACAATATCTTTAAGTTGTCATCTTAAACCCTTATTTCTGAAGCGAAAATTAATCTTTTAGAACCCCTTTTTATGGACGAATTAATCAGATGGTTTCTCTTGCGCTTCTGAGCAAAATTCATTTACTAGATGGTTGCAGAGCACTTCACGTCATGGATTGTCATTTCTTAGTGAAAATCTAGACTACAGACCCCTAGTCTTTACTCGGAACACCCAATTTTAACCGGGAAAACATGCCGAGGTCCTTAAAAGAGTTCCACAATCTATATCTATTACGATGTGTCAATATATCGTTATTTATATTTATAGATAGAATAGCCTGTAGAAGACATTGATCGTCTTACTGAATATATAATATTATTGTTTTTCTCACAGACTATCCGTCTACAATGGCTGTATCCTGAATGACTAAGAACTATCTGGGAATTCGTAATGGTTGTATTAAGATTGTTCATAAATTATACTTTTATTGTCACAAAAACATAAATTTTGATTCAGAATGAAGCTACGGACCTTCGTCTCTTCCGAAACTTTTATGTCACCTGGAAGTAGTAATACGACGGGTCAAGGTAGGCAAACTCCAGTGGTCTGAAAGCGATGTCAGAGACCGGTTTTCGGAAGTAAATGATGTAACCATAGGGTCCAAAGTCTAATAATCCACCTTAGACAACCACGTATAAATCTACAGAAGGTTTCTAATCTTCTGCACCTACTAACATGTAATTAGTTTTCCAACAGTTATGTAGGTTACAGATCAACTCGTTGATCAGCATTTGAAGTTTATTTTAAATACATTGTTATTTACTATTCTAAGTGAATGCTTTTTTGCCCCGGTTTAGTGTTTCCATGACTGTTTTGGATATCGTCAGTGGCTAGAGATCAGATGTTATGAAATGAAGTTGCAATGACATTGACATTTCTGGTCTTCAAAATTATACTATAATATCCATAACATGTTTGCTGTTTTTTTCTCCAAGTCTCCAATTTTGCTTAAATCATCATTACTCTATTTTCGTCTTGTCTGGACTTTGTTAATATTAGTTAGAAAAACATAATCTAGTTCGGACCTGTTTCGTACTATATATTGTTAGTGTCTATTCTACTACCAAACTCACCGTTTACAGGTAGCATTTAGTTATGTCTCATTTTAGTTTTTTTTTGTGAGCATCACTATTTTTTATTCCTCACGGTCTGACTAGTTAGCAAACATCATGTCTTACCTAATTGTACTTTTTGTATTATTATAGATAAAGATGATCTATACACCTCTATCTATTTTTAAAGACGGTAAAAAGGCTTTGTGTACTAGTGTCCGCTTACAGATATAAAGAAGGCTGTTATTTACTTAAATCATCCAACATCTTTACCGGGTACACTTTTTACACGACTATGGAAAAACGGTATTATCTCCTATTCATAATAGCTTTGTTTCTTTAATTCAGCTTATCCTGTAGCTTTTGTAGATGGGTTTGCAAACCATATTTACAGAAATATAAATTACAGAACTAATTATTTCCCACATTTTTTAACTGGAGATTTTGATTCTATTCAACCAGAAGTTTTAGAATTTTATCGTTCAGCAGTAAGATTCATAATATTCTAGCGATTATGATCAGAAGAATGTTGCAGTCATCGAAACACCTGATCAAGAAGAAACTGATTTCACAAAATGTGTACGTATAGTTATCAATAGTATAGAACAAAACAATGCAAGTTGCATATAGTTGAACGATTAATTTGAGCGTTCAGGTGGAATTAGATGTGCTCGTTGCAGTGCAAATGAGCGGTGGAAGGTTCGATCATGAAATGGGACTAATTAAAACTCTATATGAAACAAAGAAGTTAACTAACATTCCATTGCTTCTGGTGAGCGAGTGCTCAGTTACGTTCTTGTTAGATGAAGTAAGTGTCCATTTTTGCATATCATCTATTATTGTAACAACACTTTAGGGTGAACATACTATACGTGCTAGCACAGGATACGAAGGACAACATGTAGGTTTAATACCTGTTGGACAACCATGTCAAGTAACAACTACAGGTCTTCAATGGAACTTGGGTAATTTTTTGTCAAAATTCTAAACAATTATTGTGATAATGTTGCCGTTAACATTTTGTTGAAGAAACATGAAATCTGACTTATCTCTGGATGGTAAGACTATAATCAATGGACAACCTTTAAGCAACGTTAAAATGACCTTGGGATATCCACCTACTTACTGGGGTTAAATTAGGGTTATATATTAGTGTAATGAACTAGGATTAGGATTTACAGTGGAATAGTACGGTTAGGAATTAGATTTAATGTTTTCATCACGTACTGACATAAACGAAAATGCTAAAACGCTATTTAGCCAAGTGAGTGAATGAATTTCGTACCAAAATCTAAGACTTACTATCTCATATGTGATTCGTTTGTCCATAAATTATAGTCTCCCCCCTCTGGATCAGTTGATATTGTTACACTGAAAATCGTTACTTTCTACTATAATTGAATATAAGGCATATGCATCATAGACATATAATAATCTACAACACAAATTGAGCTGTACGTAGATAGCACAAAAGAATAAGTTATTTAACACATACTCAATCTGTAAAATGATCATTTACTTGATCTATTGGATAAGGAAAGATCATATTAACATAAAGAAACAGCTACTGTATCCCATCATAAATGACCGATTAGAAAAATAGTCTTCATTGCTTAGGTAAACAGTAACAAGGATTAGCAAGTATTACAACTAGAATATTCCCATAAAAATACTTTATTCTGATTGTCTGAACACTTTTACATATATATGATAAGTATTAATCGTATCTATGTTATTTTTCTCTACTGTCGTTTAATAGATAATGGGACACTCTCATTTGATGATATTGTTTCAACTTCGAATCGATTGTTAGATGAAATTGTTCATATAAATTGTAATCGACCTTTACTTTTTACTATGGAATATAAAAATGATATGATTAACTAGCGTGAATATATGCATAGATCATTATATTCTTGACTAGCCAGTGATAATATAAGTTGAAAAGGTGAGACATTCATTACTTCTTTCAATGATTGCAATCCAAAACATATTTTATTAATAAGATAGTGACTTTTTATTTGAAATATCTTCGTTAAGTTCTTAATTCTCATGACTATTTGATGTTTATTGTGATCATCAATAGAACTGACGTCACCTATGTGTGTCAGTTATATTTATCATAAGTTACTATGTGAGCATCGATATTGAGATTTCCCACAATGTATGTATACCCTAAGATGTTTAATATTTTCGTTTTAATTCGTGACCGTTGTTGCTACCTTGACGTGGTTCTCGGGCTTGCCTATTCTGATGGACCAATCAAGCTATACTGGCTGGAACAATCGTTTTTCAAGGTTCTACCATCTCAGACAGGTCAGTTAAAGAGCAGTAAGACTAAAAGCAGCAAACTCAATGTCCGAAGGCGAAGTCATACTGCTGACTGTACAGAGATATGACAGCAGTAAGGTGTTCCCTTCAGACAACAAGCATAACAGCGATGCTATCTTCCCACAAAGGAAGGTTGGCGTTAGAAAAGGTCGACCTTAAAAGTGCACATCTCGCCTTATCCCACGAATATCTGTCTCCGGCGGTAAGGTCTCAACAAGTACGGAGCTAACATGAAAATTACTCAAAAAAATTATGTGTGACCGACTTCAAACAGTTGTCTCCTGTGCACTGCGGTCACACTCTCAGGTCACTAAGACCACTTCTAATCCAATTTCCTTTCCAGGTACCTCTAGAAGAACCCTTCCACAGTGTGGACAACCGTGAAATGATAAAAGCCCTCATACCTCTAACAGCACTGTAATTCGTGAATTAATACAGATGAAGTGGTCATTGTTTGTAAGTAGATTTTCATCTAGAATGATAAACCATTCAAGAAATTTCATTGTATATAAAGAAGCTTGGATCAATTTTTTTTATTTAGAAAAGAACTCATTATCATACATATTGTAGAAAGTCAATACAATACATAAACATGTTTGTTTCAGTTGAATAAATTGAAGGTAATTTAATTATTAAACTGAAATATCACAAAGTAATACTGAGTTTATGTTATTTCATTTGAACCAAAAAAATATTTGGATATTCCCAATTGAACTCATTGTAATGGATGAGTTTCTTGTTTAGGTAAATCGTACAAGATATAATGAAGTGCTTTGGATAATTGTGCAGAGTCATATGCTAGAAAATAATTTAAAAAAAAGTTGAATATTATAATAGAGCGATAGACAAAACACAAAGATATCGATTGATTTATAGTATTAATGAGATCATGTAGCACATGGATCCCAGTTCAAACATTTATATTTTAAATAAGACTACGGTTAATATGACCGTTTCCGTATTAGAAGCGGTTTTCGTTATGGTCCATCGGTGAGACTATATTTTGTGAATGACCTTTGAGTGACGCCAGACTGACCTTGAGAGTTTGCACCTAATAACTAGGATCAAATGAGGTTTATGAAACGGTGTTGGCAATTAGAATTATGATTTACAATTGATGATTAGGGGTTTTCACCACGAACTGACATCAGCTACAATGCCGAAACTCCATTTAGCCAAATGAATGAATGAGTTTCGCGCCAAAATCTAAGACCTATTACTCTATATCTGATTGGTTCATCCACAAATTATAGTCTCGCTGGTCCATCATACATGGAATTAATTACTGATATGGGATGACAAGTGTTTTGTGATGTTCTATTGTACAAGTGATAGATGTTTGTTTTGTGTATTAATACTAGTGATTATTTAAGTTTATGAAATGTGATCCGGTTCAGAATGCGATAAAATATAATAGGGAAAAGAAGTTAATGATAATCATACCGTAGTATTTTAATATTTCCTGCGGAAAGTACAACGGAATATCCAACATCGAATCGATTTTGCATGTTTTGACTCGATTTATTTCTACTACTTAATAATATTCAGTAGTTTGTATTATTATCATTCATTTTGAAACTTGCGATATGACTATGTGTGCTATTGTTAGGGTCTCTAGATCTTCAGAATTCACTTGTTAAATGTCTTGTTTTGGAAATTTGAATTTGTTTTTGGGACCAGAGCATTCCTTTTCTCCTTCATATCGTATTTCCCATCTGGAAGGGCCTTAAATATCATTGGTTCATTGTCTCTTTTAATATGCTTTTTTTGTAATGTTTCCCTGGGACATATATATATATATATACACGCTTGATTTATGCTTTTGGTTGCTTGTGGAATATATTCTCCATCTTCTAAACCTGGAGTTCTCTCTGTAGTTAGCGGGGCTAGGACACATCTGAATAATTAGCTTATTTGGTTATTATGTTGCTGAGTGCCCCCAAATACCCTGGTACGGCCGAGAGTGGGGAGATTCCGCTCACCCTCTCGAAATGCTCTTACATGGCTACGCGTATATAGCCTCTGCCAGGGAAGTCCTATTCACTGCCTTCTCGTGGACGGGGTGTTGTTTATCGCATATAAAAATTTATATAACTTTTGATAATACATTAGGACTCAGTATCTAAGTGGATACTGCGATGGCGTTTGAAGCGAACGGTACTAGGTTCGAATCCCACAGTGAACATCAACTCTAAGATGCAATTGTATCCAGCTGACGAGTCTCAAATAGGACGAAATGCGCCTTGTCCTGGATTCCACTGTTAGCCATTATTCATCTTTTCTTATAATGCTTGTGAATTAAAGCAATATCGAGGCAATCCGCACAAGATGCTAACAAGAGACTGATGATCAATGAGAAGATTCAAGTAAACTATACCAAATGAATTCAACATTTAACTTTCTTAGCTATTCTATATAACTAATGAGATTAATATATATATAACATTTAAATTTTACTGTGTACAACTTACGATCAACATTTTTTGATTGAAATTTCTTCACTAACATATGATCATTTAATATTGTACTATGTAAACTTTGTACAGCAACATTATTTAAGCATAAATTATAATAGATTAATGTATTACGATCAAATGTTGAATAGATTAATACAGGTAAATTTCGACCAGGTTCTATAGCATATAAACCAGCTGTAAATGCTTGACATGAACGTCCTAATGGAAAACATAATGAATTATTATTTATATCAAATATATATGTAGTACCATCCCATGAACAAACAACTAATTGATCACCATCATCTTTCTAATAATATAGAAAAGAGAAAATAAGAGAGTTACAATATTACATATATGGATTAATCATTAAGGATAATTTGGTGTATTTGAACTTGAGTTATGATTTCTTATATCTATGACTGTTAGTGATATTATTGTTTATCTGTTTAACTAACCGATCAGAATAAGGACAAGTTTTGAATTAACAGGATCCAACGATTGTAAATTGAATGCTTTAAATACTAATATCTTACTGATAAGTGAACTATGTTATATATAAGTCGTTTGAATTCAGTTTTATCCTACTTCTGTGAAGTACTTCAAATAGGTAATCACTCACTCCCTTAGAGTATAAATGTCTCTGCCTATATATTTATATTACTTACTCCTGTTACTCTCAATGTAGTATAGGCTGCCGATCGGTATTCTCTAACCCACTCTATCCTGGGCTATCCTTTCTAGTTCTATCCAATTATTATTCATTCTTCTCATGTCTGTCTCTATTTCTCAGCGTAATATGTTCTTTAGTCTTCCTCTATTCCTTTGGCCTTGAGAATTCCAAGTGAGCGCTTGACTTGTGATGAAGTTGAGTGCTTTCCTTAATATGTGTCACATAATTCAATGTATATTATATATACTACAAGGAGGCGGAGGTCTAATTCATGGAGTTAAGGACTTATATTTTACTCCATCGTGTAACAGTTTTAAACTTCTAGAAGAAGTAATCGTCAATGGAGATTTAGAGTTTAAACTATCTGGCTTAGAGTACTCAACTTAATAACATCAACTTCGTTCAATGCATAGATAACTACACGAACACAAAGTAGATATACTGTACAACCCCAATAGTAAGGTACAAAACTTTCTCTCTCTACATATATATATATATAGTAGTATGAGAATAACAACTTACAGTTAATTTCATTTTACACAAAGCAAATAATTCACTACGTGTATGCACTTGAATTGACCAGATAATTAATTCATCATTATCATTACCATGTATTGTTGGATCAACAAGTCGCATATTTCCATCAGCCGTACATAAACAAAGTAAACATGATATCTTATTTGAGTTAATAGCAGTAGTGGTAGTATTATTATTATGACAATTTGAATGTTTCACATTACCAATAAGCCATGTACGTGTTTCTAAATTATTAGAACTTGTTACACGTGGAGGATAATAGGTTAATGTTGGTCTATTGAAAATAACAATATCATCATTAAATTGATATAAATATGAAAGAAAATATAAAGTTAATTTAATGGGAGAAGAAAAAGCCTGGAAGTACTGGATGGCAGTTTCGTTCTATCGTGGGACTCCTAAGCAGTGCGCGTCCACGATCCCTCTCGCGGAGTTCGAATCCAGAACTCTTGGTTTCGCACTCGAACGCTTAACCTTTAGACAACTGAGCCGGCATCCAACGGTGTTAATGTCTAACTTTAACTTCATGATCTCAATCAAAAACTCAATAATCTCCACAACCCCCATACTGACAATTATCACGTGCTCACTAGTGACTAGCTTCGTGAAGGGATTTCCAGAGTTATTGTGTAGAGTCGTGACCAGTGGAGCTAATCCGTGTCGGGTAGAGACAGGTATCTACTTCAGTACAATGGAAGATGGTCGCGTAATTTCGTGGATTTGTTGGAGTTAGACATTAACACCGTTGGATACCTACCAGCTCAGTGGTCTAGAGGCTAGGCGTTCGCGCGCGAAACTGAATGACCTGGGTTCAAACTCCGCGAGTGAGGTCGTGGATGCACACTGCTGAGAAGTCCCATAATGGGACGAAACGGCCTTACAGTGCTTCCAGGTTCCCGATGGCGTTTTAAGATCAATCGGTTCATGATCTCAATCAAAAACTTAATCTCCACAACACTATACTGATAAATCGAAGTTGTTTTCTCATTAGCGAAGGTACCTTGATTACTTGATCTTGTCAAATATTGATTTAGTGACATAATTAAGAGAAATCTAATTTAAATCTGATAATTTATTAGATGGGACGACTGAGATGATAATTCAAAGTAAATAGTTGTAGGTCCTGGGTTCGAATATCGCGAAGTGGGATCGTGGATGCGCACTGCTGAGGAATCATCTCACACTAGGACGAAACGGCCGTCCAGTGCTTCCGATTGACTCATGAATTCAACTATTAAATAGTAGTATGTTGAAATTTCTCTTTATTTTTCACAGAACGTGAAAACATTAAAATAGTAATTGTAGATTATATTCGGTTTGCTAGAGCTGGATGGAGAGTGCTGGTGGGCGGACTATGCTCATCCGCGAGGGGTAACAGGCGTAAGTAATAGTCGGTTTGCAAAAAAAGATAATTAACTCTAGGCAGGTGAATTATTTTATCAACAAAATTGGTGAATGACTTGATATCGTCAAGGAAACATATAAAACCCATAAGTATTATCAACTTATAGTGATCATCGTTAAACATCTGTAAAACGTCAGTGAACTGTTTGTTACAGAGTAGACCTATTATTTTAAAAAAAAAACTAGATAATTCACCGCTGTGGTGTGAGTTTGCAAAATCCAAATGAAGGCCTTACTAGGTATACTTACTTAGGGCTATAGAATAACTCCATAATGACTGAATCTTTACTGATGTAGATGGAATATAAATCTTACTTACATCATATATTCTCTGTGGACAAATCATGTTAATGATACTCCGGGTATAAAAGTTAAAAACTAGTGGTTTGGATATTTATATTCCATACATTAATTTCTGCGGATGGACGAAGAGAGGCCAAAAGTGCCTACTGAAAATACCACCCAATGCAAGCGTTAATATAGCTTAGAATGCCCCCCCTGGTACGGCCGAGGGTGGAGAGAGTCCACTCCCCCTCTTACATGACCACGCGTATACAACGACTACCAGGGAAATCCTACTCACCGCCTTCTTGCGACACGCCTGTTTACGAAATTGAGAGGACGAAAAGCGAATGTCCAGCGCTTTAGCACGGTTGGTGGACACGAAGGATCCACCTAAGGGAGTTGAAAAACCCTGATTTTAAGCCAGTGGTGCACATGGGCTCCAGGATCCTGAAGGACCAATTATTGATGACCAGTTACCATGAGAATGCATCACCTAACATTGCTCCATTGTCTTGTGGATCAGACTTTTAAGTCGAAGGCTCAGGGTGCGGTCCCTCAAGAAAACCATCTGTTTCAGTGTGGGCATCCAGGCAATATTCTAGCACTCATACAAATCCAATTATTTATGTGCCGCATATGTATTCGGTGCCCGTCTGTACCAATATTTATGCGTTCAAATAAAGTAAATAATAATAAATACGGTTATTGTAATATAAATACTCAAAATCTAACACATTGAAGGACTTACGCAACTATATCGTGGTATTTTTCAAATTTTCGATGTAAATGTGCAAATCCTCCACTTGGCTGTGAAGCAATAAGCTTATAGTTGAAACAAAAAGAAGAGAATGATTACGTACCATATATGAATAATGCAATTTTGTTGACAATAACTTTATGGGAAAAACTAATTGAAAGATTTTTAAAAGGTTGAGATTATCCACAACGTATCCATGACCAATAGTTGTGTTGTAACGTTTCAAGCGTATTCCGTCTATTAAATGGATGTTTGCACCCTTTATCTTTCTTTCCTATCTAATTCTTTTTTGTGTATTAAATTATACTACTTAATAATTTTCAGTACTTAACTTGATTTCGAAAAAGTTTTAAGCTCAGTGTGTAACATATTCTCGTGAGTCAATTGAGGCTAGACCACCATGGAAAATTTGGAAGCACTGGACGGCCGTTCTGTCCTATTCTGGGACTCCTCAACAGTGCGCATCCACGATCCCACCTCGCGAGATTCAAACCCAGGACCTATCAGTTTCGCGTGCGAGCGCTAGACCACTGGGTCGGCATCCAACGGTATTAATGTATAACTTCAACTAATCCACAGTTATACGTATACACCGTTGGATCCAGGCTCAGTGACCTAGACGTTAGGCGTTTTCTCGCAAAACCGAAGATCCCTGGGTAGGGTTCTCGAATGAGTGGATAGATAACCTAGAGCTAGTTAACATCCTAACCAGCAAGTAGTCTACATATACCGACAAAATTCATTTCAACAGTGAATGGTATCATGGGTTGATTTTACGTCTTAGTTTGCTGGTACTTACTTATTTTCAATCTATTCCTGTCCTATCGAGAATAATTTATCAAGGTAGGAGATGATCAACACCATGCGTACTACATATATTAACTATAAAGGTTGATCATGATTCACAGTCACAGAAGGCAACTTATATTGTTTGATGAATACATCATACGAGCTACCGATGTTATCGAAGGTAACACACAACCCAAAAGTGAGATATTAGGGTTATATATAGGCAGAGAGATAGTATTCATTCGTATATCAAGAGATTACAAATGTGATTACGTAAAAAAACGTGTTACCAGATAAAAAAGTCAATACTTACGATAAGACCATATTCCTGTGTTAGGCATGTATCGATTCGGTTGACCTGAAGGTGATTTTAAGCAGTAGTAATGATAATAATATTATTATTATTACTGTTATCAACATCTTGAGAAGTATGTATACACATACAACGCATAGACCAATAAGCAAAGGTTCAAGATTGCACAATATTCTGTCTCACATCAAGTACTAGTTCACTCATGATTACAAGTAGTACAGTTTACTAAAGAATGCCAAACGTACTTACGCTTGTTACCCCACATGGAGGAGCATAGGTTGTCCACCAACACCCTCCACCCAACTCCGTCCTGAGCAATCCTTTCCAGTTATTCATCCTTTTCATGTCTTCTTCCAATTACCGACGTAGTGTGTTCTCTGGCCTTACTCTTTTCCGTTTCTCTTCAGGATTCCAAGTTAACGCTTGCCTCATGGTGCAGTTTGGTGATCTCCGTAATGTATATCCTATCCAATTTCAACGTCTTTTCCCAATTTCCTCCTCAGATGGAAGCTGGTTTGTCCTCTCACACAATAGT